TTTTTTTTTTTTTTTGCCCCAAACTACTTCACTTTTATATGCACTCACTTAAAAAGGTTTCAATGAAGTATACATATTTTATTTCTCATTCACTCTAAAATTGTATATTATTATTTTTTAAAAAAAAATAAAATGAATATCTCCATATTGGAGCGTCGGTAAATGTAGCATGGGTAAGATAAGAGGTCTCTTGTCTTGTGAATAACCTAAAAGAACGGAGATTGTTCTGAAGTGAAGAAACTTGGCAACATAAAAATCATAAATAGATTATGAAGTGAAATTTCTGTTACATCGTCACGAAAAGAACAACTTTTATTATGAGCGACATGAGGCATAAACATGTCCACTCCCAAATGTAGGTTCACATTCATAGTTGATTTAGTAAGAAGAAAGCAAAGCATCCAGGTGTTGGTCCTATACAGCAGCAGCCAAAGTATAAAAGGTAGGATCAACTTTACTTGGGCTCATCATCATTACCATCAAACTGTGTGGAATTTCCATTCCAAAAGGTGTTTCTATTATCGAACCGACTTTCATCATCGTCATTATGTTGCAAGGTGTGAATATTAGCCCCAAAGCGGCTCGTTTGCTGCCTACTTTTGCTGCTTGGGATTGTACCTTGGTTGGATGATCCATTCCTTGGGGCATTATTTTGAAGTGAAGCATCCGGCACTGAGACAACAAAAGTTGAGAGATGGTACAAGTCAAAGAATAACCTTAAAAACACAAGAAACGATTCACAATAATATAAGGATAACATTTTGAGTCACATTAAGAACACCCTCACAATATTCATTTTCATACCACACAAAATGGTATATAAAGCACCAGCACAGCCAACCCAAATCCCAGAACACAACAACTGCAAGATGTGAGATTCTATTCTCTACTACATAAAAATTTTATAAATACCCTTGAAAATGTAGGCTGTCACATGGATGAACCATAATTCTTACAAGTGTGTTCTTATGACATGATATTTCAGACATTGATCATCACAAGAAAAGAGAATGAACATAACGTACCATATTCTCGTAAGCCAATTTGAGATTCCTGGGCAGAACTTATGGAGGTTCGACTTCTGCTAAGATATGAAAAAGGGTTCACATAAGATAAAATTCTTCTCACGGATACCCAATATCCTTCACTAGCATTTAAAGAAGAGTTAGCATCGTTTGTGGAATAAGCTTCATGGGGCGTTGATCCCCCTCTGTGATGGGAATTACTTTTGTTATGTGGAACCACAACCAGTGCCTGCCTATTGTAAAGACCCAATTCCGATAATATATTGTCCAAATCTGTGCACATAATAGAACACGAGAAACAATAAATGTAGGAGCATGATCAATTTGACACAATGAAGCTGCAGATATAGCAAGAATATTGCAGAAAAGAAATCAAGATAATGCTCAGCTTGCACTCAACACCCTACTCACCATTTATTTATAGTATAACAGTAAGTCATTTCTTTCATTGCTTTATAGACTGAAAAAGCAGTCACCTTATCTTTCTATATAATAGACTAATTGATCTACTACAATGTGTTTCTGACTGAATATTTGGATCCTGCCAATATATACTATATATTACTAATTCTACAAAGATCAAGTCACCCTTATTCAGGTTTAGTTTTTTCAGTAGTGAGAAATATGATTATGAATATCGAAACTTAAACCAAGTCGCTTGTTTCTCCTCAACTATGGTGTTCAAAAAATTTGCCTTTGGAGCTGGTACAAAAAGAATCTGAAATCACACACAGAAAATAAAACTCCAGGTCACTAGAGCACAGAGAGGCCAGATAACAAGATAAAGACATGACTCCCCACTTTGACATGATACTGTTCTTGACCAATCATACACAACCACTGCTAAACGAATATAAGAAAATAGCAATAAGAGAATACCATTATCATTGAAAACCTTGCGAGGGTAAGGAATTGCTATACTGAAAGAGCCCAAGCTGCTTGTTTGGTTCTCGATTATATAATCTTTGACCATTTTCAAGGTGTCCACCATAGAAAACTTGGCTTGTAAGCTGGAACCATCAGGAAGCCTGATATTTAGGAAAACATCGTTCGACGTAACGGCAGAGGAATCTGAAGCATCTGGTTTCTCAAGTTCTTTAGCAACCTCTGTATAAACATGTCCCACCTGGCTAACTTCAGTATCAGTCATCTCTCCAGAAACTTCATGGTTATTACCCAAACAATTATCAAAAGAGTCCAATTTTTTTGGTGAGACAGGATGAGCAACTTTAGCATCACTTTGACTGTCATAGTTCCTCGGTGTACTTTCTGTTTCAATTTGAGAAATGGACCCATCTATTTCACCATTATCTGTCACATTAGCCACAGATGGTTCTGGACGAGGCACACTAACCTGGTTGTCACGTGTCATCTGTTATGACAAATTCATGCAAAATTAAAAAAAAAAAAAAGCACAATACAGCTGGCATAATTAACTATTATTACTGAAATAGAATAACCTCAGAAACATCTTCTTTGTTGTTCCTATCCTCTGTTCCCCCAGAATCAAACATTTGTCCAACATCTGAAGATAAAGTATCACCATCATTTGATTGTGTTGATACAGGCGTCTCTAGAGTCACTTGCTCAGATGAAGCAGGGCCAGAAGTTCCAGGAGCAAGCTGGTTTCGAGAAGCAAGTGCAGCAGACAAGAAAGCTGCAGTTGTCTCCTGCACCATTAACATTCCATAATGATCCAACAGGACCAAGACCAAATAGTAGTTAGTAAGTAGAACAAAATTCAACTCAATATTCATACCTCACTCTAAGAGCAATGAATTGAAATCCATGCATTGGCATAATGGCATGTCAGAAAAATCAACAATTTATGAATATAATGAAATGATGTAGGGATGACGATAGAGATGAGTGCATCGAAGAAAGAAGTTATGCCCATTTGAGATGGTAATTATAGTATGGTAGATGGGGAACGTTAATAATTAGGCAGGAGACAAGAGAAGGGTGTGAGGTGGTAACATATTTCCCTGAAAGCCAAATTGAAGCAGAAGGTAACATATTTCCCTGGTTTTACCAAGCTGCTTCATAGTAAGGTTGCCCACGCAAATGCACGGGTGTATTTAAATGAAAAAAATTGCAGAAAAAACAAAACCTAGCCAATCTGAGTCAAATTAAACCATAATAAAACAAATACATATAACCCCATTATCAATCTGGGCGCAAAAACTGGTAATAATGTGCGAAATAAAGAAAACTGCACAAGGTAAAAACATCCGAGACAGGACCAGTTAAGCCTCTAATTTGCTTGATATGTCAATTTTATAAAAACTTTCCTATTTTGAAGGGAAACGTCTAATCCTAAGTATATTCTCAAAAAAGTTCTAGTATTTATCTTACATTCACTTTTGCAATCATCAACCAATCATAGTTTCAATTTAAAATAAGTTTTGCACAACTCCTCCTCCTCTATTTAGTCACACATTAACCATCATAACAAAAATAATCATCCTACAATGAATCAAACTATCTAAATTCATATTCTTATTTTTCCAAAAATCCAAAAAGAACAAAAAAATGAGCGAATAAAAAAAAAAGGTCACGCAATGAAAGCATTTGATATTGTAGGACTGTTGCAATAGGGCATTAAGCTTGGAAAATATTTTGTGAGTGGCTCAAGAACATGCGTAACTCACCTGAACATGGAGACTTAACCATGCCTTCTCAAGACTGGAAGCCAAAACATCAGCACTGACAAAGCCCTCTAAAGAATTTTTCAACGAGGTAACAAAATAAAATGTTAAGAAAAATACTAAAAAAAATTATAAGAATACTAAGCATCTGTATCACAATATAATGTGCTCTACTTAGATACATACCATTTTTCCAAAGCTGCACACCATTGTATCCAAGAGCAGTTATGCAAGGAACAGAATACTGTGGATCTGCAGTGATTGATGCAACGATAGAAACTTAATCTATTTATGCAACAGCTTCTTCAAGAGGAAATGATAACATCTAAATCATTGTGCCATCCTTAATAGAATGAAAAGCTTTAGAAATCCTTAATAGAATGAAAAGCTTTATAAACACATACAGAATTATAGTTCAAATAATAATTAGATCCTTAATCAGATAAAAGTTAATGGCCAACGGAAGTGCTAAGGCATCTAAGATCAAGAGTTCCCACTCACTACGCTTAACTGGTTCGACAGTTAACATAAAATATATAGGTTCCCTCAGCCTCTACGGTTACTTCACAAATAGCCTTACTGTGATTGATGTCAATTAGAAATTGAAAGGGATGTGTGTGTGATCAGTAAGCATTTTCAAGAAAGCATACAGATAGCCGAAAAATTTGATGCATCAGCGCTTCCTTCCAAGATGTGTAACAAAATGCAATACTTTGACAATGTCTCCACAACCTGGAAAAAGTATAAGATCATGAGAACAGTAGCACAAGGCATATCGTTATTTAGGGAACGCCATAATTAAATACTTCATAAATAGATTCAACATAAAAGGCAATAAATATTATATTATTGCGAGTGTGGGAGTGCAAGTGTGCATGCACGTGATAGAGAGAGAACCTACTTTTGGATCGAACCATGTGGAGGTTTCTAAAAGTTTTGACTCTGGATTGTCACCTGTTAAAAAAAATGGAAATGTTGAAACAGCAACTCTTGTTGATTAATCATTATTTCCAATAGGATCAAAACATTGTGAACTCATGTGTTGATTGATGAAGAATATGAAAGTAAATCCATGTAAAAGGTGCACTTACCTGCAGTGTAGACTACAAAAAGTTTTTTCTGCAATTTTGCTTCAGCAACTGCTTCTACTATAGAACCTCTAAATGCAAGAGAAGAAAGAGACCGCTCCATCTACAAACAATGAAGAGATAAATTCCTACACATCCCTCAGAGTTTCAAGTGAGACTCTCAAAGGCAATGTTCAGAAACCGATGGTAAACATAAGCACTTTGTTAATGCAAAGTACCGAGAGGGTACATAACACCACCTCCAAAAGTTATAATAATCGCAAACGTATCAGATATCTTGGCCCATCGTTTAAGATCATGTAAAGGATGATCTGTTCACAGAGTTATAAGTAAGGTTCGAACACAAAAATGGACGGGACCATAAAAGGCTGCATTTGCAGGAAAGCTGACACTATCAAGAGTGTTCATGGGCCTACTAAGCTATATCAGACACAAATAACATAATCATCACATGACAAAAGCACAAGTCGAGTAATCAATAACGCCAAGTAGATATCATAATCAGTGGTTGCAGATTGCCTCTCGAGCTTAGGTCTAGGTTTAAACGAGCCATCCCCACAATTGGTCATAAGCAGTAGTTACCCATTGCCTCTCGACAGGTTACGCCTTGATCGGAACAAGGTGATAAACCACCTGCTGTATATCCCTAGGCATTGCTTTCAGCGCCTAGAACTTATGATATTTGAACAGGTTTTCAAACTTTATATCCACAAGGCGTATTATGTTTTCTATCAACATGTGACACGTAACAAATTTTCTTTTCATCCAACTTCTGAATCCAATTTTAAATAAACAGGGCGTCTCTTGCATACATGATCATCAGTACTTCTTCTCATAAGTATGAACCCCCATAATTCTAATTTCTACAACTTCTTATTGTGAAATTCCACGATAAGAAACGAAAACTCAAAAGTACCCTAAATCGACAGAAAATAAAATGGATATTAGAACTATACGATTCATTTTCCAATACTCGTAGTAACACAAATATTACATAAACCCCAAAGCTAAAGTTTTGTTGATACTACTGTTAAGAATCTTACCTTTGGGGCTCGGAAAGGAAACAATGGAGTCTCGAGAGTTGTTCAACCACTTCTCCGACTAGTTCGTTTGTCCTCCTCTAGTCTAGAAAAGAAAAGGATAATAATTGCCTCAAGCCCATGTAGTTTCAATAATTTAACTTGATTAAACTCTACTATATCTATATTATATTATAATAATTGTGTCTATCTAAAATACCTTATTTATTTATATTAATCCTCCCTACATATATTCTCCCTATATATAATTCTCGAATGCCCTGAGCCTACGTGGCTGCTTCTGGTGCTTCGGAATCCTATTTGGCGAAGAATAATGCTTCGTAATTAGGTTTGCACAAATAATATTAATATATTAATAATTAATAATCTAGGTTCGGGTATTCCATAAATATTATTTAGCTAACTTAGGTATTTTAATATCACTTTTACTAATATAACCCTTTAATTCTTTGTAATTTCCTATATATAATTCTCGAATGCCCTGAGCCTACGTGGTTGCTTCTGGTGCTTCGGAATCCTATTTGGCGAAGAATCATGCTTCGTAATTAGGTTTGCACAAATAATATTAATATATTAATAATTAATAATCTAGGTTCGGGTATTCCATAAATATTATTTAGCTAACTTAGGTATTTTAATATCACTTTTACTAATATAACCCTTTAATTCTTTGTAATTTTAGATAGTGAGGCACTAAGTGACTAATATATCCCTAAATTTTGATTTGCTTCCTTCAATAAGTTATTGATTTATAAATGTATTTTAAAAGTAGATAACTTTTGTATTTCTTATTGGTTTTACATATACAATATATCAAATTAATTATCTTTTGATAATCTTCGATTTGACATCCATATTGTATATATAAAATAAGAAATTATCTTTACAATAATAAAAAATAATAATATTATTAAAATTCATTATAAAAATAAAATTATTTCTCAATTGATATATTTATATTTAATGTAGTTATATATTATAAGTTCAAAAATTTGTATAAAGGAGCTACTTGCATAAATTTATAAATACAAAAGAGACAAAAAAAAAAAAAA